AGCAGCTGCTGCTGTTTCAAGGCTGCTTCTTCTGCTGCATGTAGAGCACTGAATACCTGTCTTGCTGCTACTGCTGCAGCTTCGTGACCAGCAACAGGACCCTGCTGCTGCTGCTGCTGCTGCTGCTGCTGCGTAAGGGAGATATATTTAGCGAAGTATTTGCTGATTGTTTTTAATTCATCATTTGCATCAATTAAGATACATCTACTAGAAGGAAAGACCCCTTCCCTGCTGCTGCTGCTGCTGCTGCTGTTGCTGCTGCTGCTGCTGCTGCTGCTGCTGCTGCTGAGACTCTTAAGGACTTGCATGCAAGAATTAGCATTAAATAATAAGAAGGAAGGAACAGAAGGAGAATAATGAGTAAGACAAAGACCAGGACTAACTTGTGGTCTTATAAATACATCATTTATATTATTATTTATTTTATTTATTTCTTTATTTATTTTATTTATTTTATTTATATTATTATTTATATTTATATTATTATTTATATCTTTATTTGTGCACGAATTGATGCTGCTATTACGCGCTGCTGCATGCGCTGTTTTGTCGGCAGCAGCAGCAGCAGCAGGAGCTGCCTCATTGCTGCTGCTGCTGTTGCTGCTGTTGTTGCTGCTGTTGCTGTTGCTGCTGCTGCTGCTGTTGCTGCTGCTGCTGCTATAGTTGATAGCAGAAGCAACAGTAACTGTACATTTAGGGAAATATTTACCTGCTGCTGCTGCAGCAGCAGCAGCAGCAGCAATTGCTTCCTCAATCATATTGCAGCAGATAATTCCTCTTCTTAATATTTTTATTATTATTTCTTCTTCTTTTTCTTTTTTTTTCTCTTTTTTTTCTTCTTTTTCTTGTTTATTTCCTTCTTTTTCTTTTTTTTCTTGTTTATTTCCTCCTATTTCTTGTATATTTATTCTTTTTTCTTCTTTTTTTTCTTCTTTTTTTCCCTCTTTTTTCCTTATTAATTTAACAACTGTAGATTCAATACCAATAAAGCAGCACTCCCCTCCATCTAGTAAAGGTAATTCATATATTTGCTGCTGCTGCTGCTGCTGCTGCTGTTGCTGCTGCTGCTGCTGCTGCATATGCAGCTGCTTAATAACGTGCTGAGGGTGTGTAGGGGAAATCTTACCAAATCTATTAGCAGAAGGAGCAGCAAGAGGAGCAGCAGCAGCAGCAAGAAGAGCTAATGCAATAGGATGATAAGGAACCCTAACAGCAACACAACCTGTTCCTCCTGTTACTTCCTTGCATACACCATTTGCTGCTGCTGCTGCTGCTGCTGCTTCTTCTCCTGCTTCTAATGATTCTTTTGATACCCATGAACCTAATTCTCCTGCTGCTGTTGATTTTTCTGCTGCTGCTGCTGCTGCTGCAGCAGCAGCAGCAGCAGCAGCAGACAGGACACGACGCCTACCTATAATACTGAATGGCCCTGGCCAGAAGGCCTCAGCTAAGGCCATAAATACAATTTCTAAGGAATTTTTTTTTCCTGCTGCTGCTGCTGCTGCTGCTTCTCCTGCTGCTGCTGCTGCCGTTGCTGCTGCTGCTGCTGCTGCTTCCTCTCCTTCTTCTTCCTCATCAAGAGAAATAACTTGGGTAAGGGCTTGCTTAGCAGAGACAACATGACAAATAAGAGGATCTGTTAATGGTCTCTGTTTTAGTGTAAATATGCAGCAGCAGCTGCTGCTGCTGCATGCAGCAGCAGCAAGACCATATACTGTCTCTGTAGGGAAAACAACACAACCATTAGTTAATAATCTTGCTGCTAATCTACGTATTGTTGGGTGTATAGCCAGCTCCTTTATTGCGGTGTATGATAACCTCCTGCTGCTGCTGCTGCTGCTGCTGCTGCTGTTGCTGCTGCTGTTGCTGCTGCTGCTGCTGCTGCTGCTGCTGCTGCTGCTGCTGCTGCTGGATTCATTTGTTAGACCAAGAAGAGATCGAAGAGAAGGACTTTTAGGCATTAATTGTATTTTATCATTAAAAAAAGGAAAAGAAATATTATTTATTAATTCAGGTGTATAGGCACCTCCTAATGTATCTATAGGGGGTACCTTATATAATACTACATTTATAAGAGGAGGGGGAGCAACAGCAGCAGCAGCAGCAGCAGCAGCAGCAGGAGCAGCAGCAGCAGGATCTCCTGCTGCTCCTGCTTCTGTTGTTGTTTCTTCTATTGTTATTTTTCCTGCTTCTGCTGCTGCAGCAGCAGCAGCAGAAGAAGAAGAGGGGGGCCCCTCGTATCGAGGCTGGGGGGCCCCACCCTCTATAGGCAACGATGACATAAATAAATAAAAAAAAAAAGAAAAAAAGAAAAAAAAGAAGAAAAAAAAGAAGAAAAAAAAGAAGAAAAAAGGAATAAAAGAAATAAACCAGAAGATAAATAATATATGTATATTAAAAAAAGAATACATGCAACAATATTTAGCTGCTGCTGTTGCTGCTGTTGCTGCTGTTGCTGCTGCTGCTGCTGCTGCTGCAGATACACTCGATGAGGGGTATAGAAGGAAGGAAGAAGGAAGGAGGAAGAAAAAGAAGAAAAAAAGAAAATAAATAAATAAATATATTTAATTAATTAATTATTTATTTAATTAATTATTTTATTTCCTTTTATTAACATATATTATTATATATACCCACAGAAGCAGCAGCAGCAGCAGCAGCAGTATGGGGGGGCCCTATGTATGGGGCTGGGGGGCCCCATATATAAGAAGGGCCCACCTGCTGCTGCTGCTGCTGCTGCTACTGTTGTTGCATCTATTTGCTGCTGCAGCAAGAAGGGAATAAAAAGAAGAAGGAAGTTGTTTTTGTCTTTTGTCTTTTTTGCGTGTTATACACTTGTTGCAGTTGTTGCTTTTGTTGTAGTTGCTGCTGTTGCTGTGTCTGCTGCTGCTGCTGCTGCAGTTGTAGCTGCTGCACAGCTGCCTATACACCTCGGCGGTGGTTCGGTGTTGCGGCAGCTGTACTACTGCAGCAGCTCATAGGAAGGAATGGGGTGTCTATACACCTGAATAATTGTCTTGTTAATTGTATTAAATAATTTAATTAATTATTTTTATTATTTTTCTCTTTTTTCCCCCTCTTAGACATTTTTTGACTGTTTATTTTGCTGCTGCTGACGCAGCAGCAGCAGCGGCAGCAGCGGCTGCTGCTGGACCAGCAGCAGCAGCTAATAAGCTCTATATTAACGTGTGTATTTTTTTTTTCTTTTTTTATTTATTTATTTTAATTAAATGGCACGAATTGCCCGATTATTTGGTGGATCTGCTGCTGCAGCAGCAGCAGAGAAGGGCCCCCCACCTGTTGCTGCTTCTGCTGCTACTTCTCCCCGTGATAGGGTGTACGTACAGCCCACAACTGGTCAGCGTCGTACTATTGGGACAACAAGTACCACCACAAGCAGCAGCAGCAACAACAGCAGCAGCAACAGCAACAGCAGCAGCAGCAGCAGCAAGGGTCTATCAGGTTTTCAATCTCTTAAGCAGCAACTCTTATCTTCTTCGCACCCCTTTACCCGTCTTGCCCCTCCTGGTACCCAATTGCAGCAGCAGCAGCAGCAGCAGCAGCAGGGTATTAACAGCAGCAGCAGCAATAGGAGCAGCAGCAGCAGCAGGGCCCCAGTAGACACAGACCTAGCAGATAAGTTGAGTACCCTTGCTGTAGGTGGAGGGGGGGGCCTCCGTGGTGTCTTTCAAGGAAAAAAGGGTATAAATAGGGGTAGGCCCCCCCCATCCCCTGAGGGGGCCCCCCTAAAAGGGGCCCCCGTAGTACCCTCTTCTCGACGTAGTAAACAAAGAGGGGCCTCCTGCAGAGGAAGGGGTACAAGTCCAAAGGGTTTACTGAATATATATAATGATGGAGGATCTGCTGCTGCTGCTGCTGCTTCCTTAGTAGATCCTTCTTCGCTGCAGCAGCTGCGCATGCAGCAGCAGCAGCTAGCTGTACCTCTATCCCCATCTGGTGGCTGCAGCGACGGTGGTGTATTCTCTAGTCCAAGAGATATAACAGCAGCAGCAGCAGCAGCAGCAGCAGCAGCAGCAGCAGGAGATCAGCGATCTATGGTGTTACTAGACCCTCACAAGCAGCAATTAGCTGCAGTAGCAGCAGCAGCAGCAGCAGCAGAAAGGCGTTGGGGATTAAGTTTAGCAGCAAGTAAATTAGGATTATTAGAAGACATAAGCAGCAGCAGCAGCAGCAGCAGCAGCAATGCATGCATACGTGTAGGTAGATTTATTTATGTATGTAATTCCTTATCTCGTGTATTCTTAACAGTTTCCTTATTATTAATTATTGGTATTTCTTTGTGTTTATTATTTTATTCCTTATTAAAGGATATATGGCTACAGGAGCAGCAAAGACAAGCAGCAGCAGCAGCAGCAGCAGCAGCATGTAGACAAAGACATAGAGAGAATGGATGCGAAACCCTAAACCCTCTTCCTCCTTTCCTCCTAAACCCTTGCGAGGAATGGCGAAAGTGTTTTATGCTTGCCCCTAATAAACACGGAGAAACAACCATCATTGCTGTACAAGTTATTGCCCAAGTATTAAATGCTTTCTTTTATAGTCTACAATGGTATATAAATATACACCATAAACCCTAAACCCTAAACCCTAATTAGTTGAAATATTTATTCTCTATTTATTATTATAAGATTAGGGTTTATATGAGGGTTTATTACGGTTTCGGTCTTACGGTCTAGGGTTTGGGGTTGAGGTTTTAGAGGTTTATTACCGTTTAGGGTTAATTAGGGTTTAGGGTTAATTAGGGTTTAGGGTTAATTAGGGTTTAGGGTTTATGGTGTATGTGTACAGGAGGACTCTGATTGCTGTATGTGCATTATTATGGTTGGCTGTTTATGCATTTAAAGAAATTCGTCATTGTAGATCTTCTTCATCTAATTGTGTTGCATGCAACGGCGGAAGGGTCCAATCCCAGCAGCAGCAGCAGCAGCAGCAACAGCAGCAGCAGCAGCAACAACAGCAGCAACAATTACAGCCATTGAACCAGAACACTGTGCCATATCAGCCAACGTACATCGGAGGGAGAGGACAAGATCAGCAGCAGCAACCGCAGCAACTGCAGCAGCAGCAGCAACTACTGCAGCAATTAGACTATGAGCGTCAAGTATTAAGACAACAGATATTAAGAGGCACAGCTACTCCTGTGCTGCTGCAGACATTAGAGAGACAAGAAGCAGTGCAGAGGGAGTTGGCATATGTTGTTGATGCAGAGCAGCAGCAGCAGCAGCAGCAACAGCAGCACCACCAACAGTGTGATTCTTGTCAAGAATGCAATCACGACGACGACAGCAGCAGCAGCAGCAGTAGCAGCATCGGCAGCAACGGGAGACCAAGCTTTTTACAGGCATTACTAAAGAGTTTTGTATTTAAATGCCTATTAGTCTTATGGACAGTCTATGCATGCGTTGTGGGGTGTATGTACGCCTGGAGGAACAGCTACCTGGTGCAGCAGCTGCAGCAGTTGCAGCAATGGCAGGGCGCCATCGTATAGATTATATATTATATTATATATACAGTAAACCCTAATTATGTTTAGGGTTATTCTATCTATATAAACACTATTACATGGTTTCGCAGTCAAACCCTAAACCCTAAACACTAATTCAAGGTATTATGGGCTGACACGCCTCCCTGCAGGCCGCCAAGGGTCTGCCCCAAAAGGTTAAGGATTTATGGGGGTTTTGAGCGTTCTGAGGGTTTAGGGTTTAGGGTTTCTTGGGGTTCTTGGGGTATTATTCTTATTAGGGTTTAGGGTTTCTAGCGTTTAGGGTTTTAGAGCGCGACGAGGGTTCGTGTCGCGGCTTGTAAGTGCCGCGATGGGTTTGATTGTTTTGCTAGGGTTTAGGGTTTAGGCATTTGCCGCGAAACCCTAAACCCTAAACCCTTCAACATAACACTGTTTCCGGATCCCGTAACATGTGGGAGTTAAGGTGTATGTACACCTCATTTTTCATCGTTCGTTGCTGTAGGGTTTAGGGTTTAGGGTTTAATAGCTAATTAAATGAATAAATATCATTTCCCTTTACCTTGTTCTTCTTCTTGCGCTTCTCTTGCTTCCTCTTCCTCCTCCTGTCTCTGTTTTTCTTTATTAATAATATTTTGCATATCCTTTTTATGTTTATCTGCTTCGTGCTTTGCTTTTTGATGTTGATGTTTTGCTTCTTTTAGTGCTTTTCCCCCTTTTTTTAATTGTATTATTCCTCTATTTATACTTTCTTCTTTCTTGTGCTGCTGCTGCACTGCTGCTTCTGCTGCTTCCTCTAATGCTGCCATTTCTTCCGCTGCATTATCAGCTATTTCTTTCTTTGTTTGTGCATGCATCATTCTTTCCTCATCTATTTGCTGCTGCGCTGCTGCTGCTGCTGCTTCTGCTTGCTGCAGCTGTACACGGAAAGCTGCTAGTTTCCTAGATAAATCATCTGCATGCATGCGCTCATTTTCCTCGTATTCCTCTGTTTTATCTTTTATTAATTGATGGCTAATATTGCCATTACGATGAACTTGACGCTTAATAGCATTAGATAAAACCCTCACAGACTCTCTGAATAGTCAATATTAGGGTTCAGGTTTTGGGGGTTAATAAAGGGAGAAAAAATGAGTATTTTTTATTAATTACTCACGAATAGGGTTCTCCTTCTTCAACCGTCATAGGAGAACGGGAGTTCGCCTTTTGTTCATCATATTGACGGTGGTTTCCTTTAGTTGAATGCCGCAAGGCGCTGACGCTTTCTTGCAAAAAGAGGGAAACAAGGGAAAAGAAAAGGAAATAAAGGGGGAAAATGGAAAAATAATTCATTATTTTAATAATGTTAATTATTTTTCCATGAATTACTTCTGGAGACGAAGTTTTAAGGAAGAAAATTAATAATTCATATTTCTGATTCTTGTGCCATGTGGTCATCATTGAGCTGCCTATACACCCGAACAATGCAAACTTGCAATGCATAGTTTTAGAGGGGAAAGCTCCTTTAATTAATCCATTTTTATCTCTTAATTAATAAAAATATGTCTTTTTATTTGATTAACAATCATTAATTGGTGTTATATCGCCTTTAAATTCTTTTTCCTCTCCTTTTCTCTTTTGACTCATGTTACTGAAACCAACTAAAGGAGAAATTGAACAAAAGAAGAGATGCGTATCTTTCCATCGCTTTTTACGTCTCTTCTTTCATCTTATTGTGTTTTAATAAATACATTTAGCCACAAAAAGCTGTTTTTCTTTGTTTAAATCGCCTTTAATTGTTTGCATGCAAAGAAAGAGAGTCGATTATATACGTATTCATGCTCTTGTCTGTGTGGATGCAGGAGGAATGTTGATTATATTTATATTTTATGAGAAGAAGACGAAGTAAAAAGAAACAATCTCTAATTGACTTAGCTTATACTTTCTTTTTATTTCTTCATTTAATAAAAATTACTCTTTTTTATTCGTGATCTGTTGCTGTGTAAGATCCGTCCTTTCCTCTTTGCGTGCGGAGGCAGCAGCAAAAGAAGGAAAAGTTGAATTTTGTTGCTGTTGCTGTTTTTATACAAACAAAAGGAAATAAAAGGGAATAAAAATAAATAAAAATAAATATAATTATTTAAATAAAAGCCCTTGGCGTACAAAAAGAGAGAGAGCGGCGGGTGTATTGATAATGTATAGATGATCTAATTGTTAATCTTTATACATAAGAATATATAATAAAAAGAGGCAATTAAACCCTTTTTTTAATTTATTTTATTATTTTATATTTATAAAGAAGGAAGGAAGCTGCAGCAAAGGCACAAAGAGGGCAGCAGCAGCAGCATGCAGAAGAGGGCGTGTGCAGGTAGTAGAGGGCGAATTAGGGTTTAGGGTTTAGGGTTTAGGAGGGTTTGTTTAGGGTTTGTGAGGGTTCTTAAGGGTAGATATGAAGAAGTTCCTTCTGTTATGGCGAACAGTTATATTAAATTATTTATATGTAATTTCTTTTTTATTCCTTTTTATTTTTTTATTTGTATTTATATTTGCATACATTGCATGCATTTATTTTATTTCTTTTTCCCTTTCCTTCCCTTAGACACTGCTGCTGCTGGCCGCCGACCGGCGCCGCGCTTCTCTCCTTTACGCAACAAAACCCCCCTTTTTTCTGTTTTTATTTTTCCTTTTCTTCTCTATTTCTCTTTTCTCTATTTCCTTTTAACTCCTGCCGTCCTCAGCAGCAAGCCAACACCCTTTCTTCCCTACAACCTCTGCCGCAGGGAGGCCGAGGAGGGGCCCTAGAGTTTAGGGTTTAGGGTCTAGGGTTTAGGGTTTCGGGTTTACTGTTTTGTACAACTCTATGCGTATCCATACAGATCATCGTACCCCCAGGAAGACCATACCCCCTCGACAAAGAGGCCCTCTGCCCCTTCCCTTACCCCACGGAGGCGGGTTTGGGGTTTTTTTAGGGTTTAGGGTTTAGGGTTTTGGCCTCGGGGGGCTCTGCTGGGTGCCTTTCTTTAACTCTTATACCCCTTTGCTGCCTTTCTTGTCATGTCCCAATAAGGGTACAGCTGCAGCCAATGAATTCGCGCCGCCCTCCTGAGGGGCCCCCCAGCGAGGGGCCCCCAGAAAGCACGGCTTCGTCTACTGCAACAGCAGCAGCAGCAAATGCCGCAGCAGCAGAAGGAGGACCTCCAGCAGCACGCAGATCGGGCTGCTTGGGGTTGCGCTTTAACGACACCCCTCTAATCGTTGGCGAATCCTCAAGGGGGGCCCCCAAGGGGGGGGCCCTTAAGGGGAGCCTCAAGGGGGCCCCCAAGAGTAGCTTAAGGACCCAGGGGAGTGAAGGAGACGGGGCCCCATTGGGGCGCCCATCTCCTGGCCGCCGCACGCGTTCGGAGGGTTTTGAATTGCCGCTGCTGCTCCTACATGGGGGGGCCCCCAGGGGGCCCCAAGGGTCCCTGAATAACCTGGGTACCCCCCCTGTAGATGAGGATTGGCAAGCAGAAGTTTCTGCATCTGTTGCTGCTGCATTTCGTGACATGCGTGGCAGTATGTTCTTAGGTAGCGGCAGCAGCAGCAGCAGCAGCAGGTCCTCTCTCCTTCGTGGTGGGGCCCCCAGGGGCCCTCACAGGTCCCCCCGTACCCCTAGGGTGGGCCCTCGTTCAGCTAGAAGGACAGCAGAAAGCCCTTCTTCTTCGGGTGCAAGTATAACACCAACAAGCAGCAATCATCAGACCCCTAGGGGCTCCCAAGGGGTACAAGAAAGGGTACGGGGTACGGATACCCCTACCTCGGAGGAGGGGCCCCCAGGGGGCTCTCTTGAGATGGGGGGGCCCTCAGAGGGTCTTGAGGGGTCGGGGCCCCCCACTACTTATAGTGAGGGTATAGAGCCGACACTTGAAGGAGAAGAACAACGAGAGGGGGGGCCCCCGATGCAGGCGGGGGGGGCCCCTGAGGGTGCAGGAGACCTACAGTCCGAGTTTCTTGCTGCTTATGCCATGATGCCTTCCCCAGGTCCTGCTGCAGCAGATGCAGCAGCAGCAGCAGCAGACTCAGATACATCAGCAGCAGCAGATGCTGCTGCTGATATGGCTACAGACGCAGCGGCATCAGACGCAGGAGCATCAGATGCAGCAGCAGCAGCAGCAGCAGCAGCAGCACCAGACACTCTGCCAGCTGAAGCCCCACATAGGGGGGGATCCAGGGCAGCAGCAGCAGCAACAACAGCAGCAGCAACAACAACAGCAGCAGCATCAGCAGCAACAGATATATCTTCTTCCTGCTGCACTCCTCAATCAGAACCTGCTGCTAAGGAGGGGCCCCCTGAGGACCTGCAGGGGCCCCCAACCCCTACATCTACGGGGCGCCCAGAGGTACCCAAATCTCCTGTAACCAGTACGTCATAAACCCTAAACCCTAAACCCTAATTAAACCCTAGATATAGGCAGATAAACACCGAGGCATAACCTATAAGATACTTGGGCTGCTAGTACTACTACTACTACTACTGCTGCTGCTGCTGTTGCTGCTGTTGCTGCTGCTGCTGCACTTCCTGCTCCTGTAGAGGCAGAAGAGGAGAGATAAAACCACACACATATACACCCAACACAATAACTGTTTTTCTTGAAACTCCTGACATTCTTCCAATCCTCTAGGGTTTAGGGTTTCCTAGGGTCTAGGGTTTAGGGTTTAGGGTTTAGGGTTTGTGGGTACAGGATGGAGCCGTAGCCTATTTAGACGATCTGGTGGTTCTTCTGGTCTTCTTAGCAGCAGACACTCAGTAGAAAGATCCGTCACTACTATTAGCTCGTATGCTTCCTGCTGCTGCTGCTGTTGTTGTTGCTGCTGCTGCTGCTGTTGCTGTTGCTGCTGTTGCTGCTGCTGCTTCTGGTGGTCGTTTTATTCTTATTGGTGCTTCTCATGCTGCTGCTGCTGCTGTTGCTGTTGTTGCTGCTGTGTGAATGCACTTGCTGCTGCTGAACTGGAGGATGCTGGCGCTGCTGCTGCTGCTGCAGTTGCTGCTGCTGCTGCTGCATTTGCTGCTGGGTGCGGGGCTTCTGTTTGTTATACAGGGCAACACAAAGCAAAAGCTTGTTGGGGTCTGAGCGCGCCAATGCGGTAAGCATAAACCCTAAACCCTAAACCCTTAGTCCTAATCAGTCATTCCCCGAAACTTCCTTTCCTGCTTCAAACCCCAAACCCTAAACCCTAAACCCTAAACCCTAAACCCTTGTTGTGCGCAGAGAGGAGTCTTCCCCGTGGCTGTGAGGGGCCGCAGCTCAAAGGACGGCCAGGCATTGTCCCCCGTGTGGTGTGTGCGCGAGGTTGAAACAGGTAGGGTTTAGGGTTTAGGGTTTAGGGTTTGGGGTTTGGGGTTTGGGGCTTAGGGTTTAGGGTTTGGGGCTTAGGGTTTAGGGTTTGGAGTGGGTGTTGCCAGTTGCTGCATCGTGGCTGTGCATTTTCTGTAGTGCCGTTTCCTGGTTGTCTTGATATAAAACTTAGGGTTTAGGGTTTATCGCCTAGGGTTTAGGGTTTAGGGTTTAGGGTTTAGGGTTTGCATGCAGGCGACAGTGCAGCACTATGGTCTGCAACAATTTCCCCAAAGGGCGAATGGTTAGCAGCAGCAGGACAAACGGGTGTTGTATTTCTTTGGTCTGTACCGGGTCCAAGGGCCCCCCCTGCTCCTCGTGGGGGCCCCCATGGGGCCCCTGGGGCCCACCCGAAAAAGGGAACTGGTTCAAACCCTCGTCAGTCTAAGGAATCAATTCCTCGCGTATTATCAGCACCAGCAGAGGGGGGCCTCGGGGGCCCCCCTCCCCAATCAGGCCGTGGTCCTCCCCCTCCATCAATGTTAAGGGGTGTGGGGGCCCCATCAGGGGCCCCCACAACCCCATCTGGGGGCCCCCCTGGGGCCCCCCCACCAACCCCAACTCCTCCTCCAAGTAACGAAGAACGTGATGGATGGTTTTTAAGGGAAAGACCTGATTTATGTCTAACAGGACATGGGGCCTCTATTATACTCCTTTGTTGGGCCCCTACCCTCAAGCTTTCTCTCCTCTTGTCTGCCTCCCTTGATAAGACTATTCGTCTATGGAGGCCCTCTAAGGGCCCCAATGCTATTGCTGTATTAAGATGTACAGATTGGCCAACTAGTGCTTCCTTTCATCCTATATTTAAGGTATAAACCCTAAACCCTAAATAAACCCTAAACCCTAAACCCTTATGACATGCAAAATATACAAAACACACAAATATATACTCCTTATGCTGCAGTTATGTTCGTTACTTCTTATCCTGCTATACAAAGTGTTTTTCTAGGGTTTAGGGTTTGTGTACTCAGGATGTTATATTCACCGGGTGTCTAGACGCCACCATTCAGGTCTGGCGGCTTCTCTCTACAAGGACACATGGGGGCCCCCGGGGGGCCCCCGAACAGTTTGAGTCCCGTATTGTTGAGTACCTTAAAGTACCCGAGCTAGTCACTGCTCTCTCTATTTCCCCAAAGTAAGGGTTTAGGGTTTAGGGTTTAGGTTTTACGATCAAGGTGCCCTATAAACGCGTTAGGGTTCGGATTAGGGTTTAGGGTTTAGGGTTTAAGGCTTATGTGTTTGTGTGTACAGTGGCGGCATCTTGGCTGTTGGCTTCCGCAACGGCAGCATTTCCTTCTATGACGCAAGGGTACGTTAATGGTTTAGGGTTTAGGGTTTAGGGTTTGCTGCTGAGTAACTCTTTTGCTGGGGCTTTTAGCAACTTGAGGCTGTTCAAATTTAGGGTTTAGGGTTTAGGGTTTAGGGTTTGGGGTTTGCGTGCAGACGCTGAAGTTTTGCTCGGAAGTTGACTGCAAAAACCGAAAGGGGAAATTTTCAAAGGGGAGGAAGGTAAGAAATTAGGGTTTAGGGTTTAGGGTTTGGGGATGCAGAGGTATAGAGTTTAGCGGTGCTAAGTTTTCAGGGTTTACATATATACACCAAGTATATATACTTTAGGGTTTAGGGTATGTTACGGCGGCAAGCCGTAAGCGGTCTAGGGTTTTTCTTCTAGGGTTTAGGGTTTAGGGTTTAGGGTTTAGGGTTTGTTCAGGTGACGAGCTTGGAGTGGCTGCCTGACGGGCGGTCTTTGCTTGTTGCCACCAACGACTCCCGCATCCGCATCTTCGATGTTTCCGTAAACCCTAAACCCTCATCTAAACCCTAAACCCTCGTTTAAACCCTAAACCCTAGGTTGTCTGCTAAACCCTTCGGCTTAAAATCACTCTCGTTCCCCTTAGAACTGGAGAATTAGGGTTTAGGGTTTAGGGTTTTGTGTATCTGCAGAGCCTGACTTGCGTCTACAAATTCAAAGGTCACGTTAACTCGCAAATTATGCTGAGAGCCAGCTACACGTAAGAATTGATTATCTAGGGTTTAGGGTTTAGGGTTTAGGGTTTGCTCTGCATGCCCACTGCCTCTACATGCAGTTTGTCGAATAAACCAGATTTCGCTTTAGGGTTTAGGGTCTATGGGTCTAGGGTCTTTGGTTTATGGGTTTCGGGTTTCTCTAGGGTTTAGGGTTTAGGGTTTAGGGTTTAGGGTTTGGGTGTGTGTAAAGGAACAATGGTCTAGGGGTGGTTTGTGGTAGCGAGATGGGAAGAATTTGTTTTTGGAGAGTTGCAGGACCAACAGGGGAAGTGCTTGGTGAACACAGGTAAGCCCTAGGGTCTAGGGTTTAGGGTTTAGGGTTTGGGTGTCTCAGTGGGAGTGCGGGTCTGTCTTGCTACAAACCCTAAACCCTAAACCATTTCGAGCACCTGGCCGTTGATTGGTTTGGGCAAGGATCTTGCAACTAGGGTTTAGGGTTTAGGGTTTAGGGTTTAGGGTTTATAAGTGTTTACGGTTTGTTGCAGGACGCGATTCCAACAATGGAAGCGAGTTACCAACAATTGTCCTGAAGAGTTTAAGGGTAAGTCGAGGGTTTAGGGTTTAGGGTTTAGGGTTTAGGGTTTATTGTAATTTAGTGTAATTTAGGATCTAGGATAAATGGTAATGCAGGATTTTGGCTAAATAAGGGTTTAGGGCTTAGGATCATTAGGGTTTAGGGTTTAGGGTTTATATTATGTGTATTATGTATGCAGCATTTGATGAATTATTAACATTTGCTGTTGCTGCACCTCCTGCCTTCGCCTCTTCTCTTTTTTCTTATTTATCTGTTCATCCTCTTCCCTCTAGGGGAGGAACTAAACCCTCACCTAGGGTTTATCCTTTATCTCCTTCTTCTTCCCCATCTAACCGTCAGCAGCAGCAGCAGCAGCAGCAACCACAACAACAGGAACAACAACAGGAACAACAAGAGCAGCAACAGCCAGAGCAGCAGCAACAGCAGCAGCAACAGCAGCAGCAGCAGCAGCAGCAGCAGAGGTCGGGTATAAGCAGCATATGCGGTAGTCCTCCTATAAGAAGTTTATCTGCAGCAGCAAACATAAAAACAAATAAGATAAGGCAATTCTTATCATTAAGGAGAACAAGAGGGGGCCCCCTTCGTTTCTCTCCTGCTGCAGCAGCAGCAGCAGCAGCAGCAACAACAGGAACAGTAACAGCAACAACATCAGCACCTCCAACAGCAACAACAGCAGCAGCAGCAACAGCAGCAGCATTAGCAGCAAGAACAACAAGTTCCCTCTCCTCTGCTACTGCATGCAGTAACACAGAATCTATAGGAGTACAATCTTCTTCTTCTTCCTCTTCTTCTTCCTCTGCAGCAGCAGGCGGTGCCTCCTCCTCTTCCTCCTCTGCTGCTGCAACAACAACAAGAACAGCAGCAGCAGCAGCAGCAGCAGCAGCAGCAGATGCTGCATGCGATTCAGACGATAGCGACATATGTGCTGCCTCTCTTGCTGCACTAAGTGTTGCAGATTCATTAGGAGAGAAAGGAGGAGGGTTTAAGTCTTATAATGATGATAGATCTTTTTGTTGGAGGGCAGGAAAAAGAATGCATCTTGGTCTACCCATCAATTGTTATCAATTATGTAAACAAAGGTAACTATTATTAGGGTTTATTAGGGTTTACGAGGGTTTACGAGGGTTTAGGAGGGTTTGTGGGTGTTTATTTGGGTTTTTTAGCGTTTATTACGGTTTATTGGGGTTTTTTAGGGTTTATTAGGGTTTATGAGGGTTTAGGGTTTAGGGTTTAGGGTTTGTGTGTTTATTCTTCAGGTCGGATGCTGCAAACTTGGTGGTGGTTGCCGGCAGCTACACGGGGAAGATAAGAGTGTTTGTGAATTTAGCGGGTCTTATGTGTACAAACCCTAAACCCTAAACCCTAAACCCTAATTTAGGGTTTGTTGCATTTTTAGTTAGGGGGGATTTTTATTTAGTCCTCCTTTTTATTCATCAGGTTTTCTGTTTTTTGTTTTCGTTATAAAAAGCAGCAGCAGTAGTAATAACCCTAAACCCTAAACCCTAAACCCTAATAAAGCAGTCAGAGTATAAATAGGCAGTAAAATAATATATTGAGGTATATAAACCTCTAATTAAATCTTTTCTTCTTCTTCTTGCAGCTCCTAACTTGGATTACGCGCATGCATGCAAAAAGCCCCAAAAAGGCTGCATGCATGCAGTTCCTTTAAGTACAGTTGCCTTCTCTTTTTTATGGATTTACGGCTTAGGGTTTAGGGTTTAGGGGTCAGAAGTAGTATCTAGCATGAGGGGATAGATATGGCAAACCTAAACCGGACATGCAGAGCAACTCCCTGCGGCCCTTACAGCTTAGGGTTTAGGGTTTAGGGCTTAGGATGCATGCAGTGGTAGTGTTACGGTTGCCGTGCTGCTGCTGCTGCTGCTGGAGCTGCTGCTGCTGTTTGTACCTCTGCTAGTAGATGGAGGCAAACCCTAAACCCTTATTTATAGCTGTTGCTATGATTGACAAGTAAACCTTAGAACATTAGGACAAGCCTGTAGCTGATGAGGGTTTAGGGTTTAGGGTTTAGGGTTTTGTACTATAGGAAGAGATGCCGTTACGAGGTGGTGCAACTAAACCCAGGGTTTTAAATATAAAGCTGCCAGCGAGGGTTTAGGGTTTAGGGTTTAGGAGCTGGCGGTTATGTAGGGCCAGCTAAGACCTAAACCCTAAACCCTAAACCCTTGAATGAGAATGCAAACAGCGGAGGTTTGTTGATGTAAATAGAGAGCCAAAGGTAGTGGAGGGTTTGACGTTCTTGGCTAGGGTTTAGGGTTTAGGGTTTAGGGTTTAGGTTGGTTTTTGTTCCCAACAACCCTAAGGTGGAGTTTTTGCTTGCAGGGGTATGTTATCTCTTGCATTAGGGTTTAGGGTTTAGGGTTTGGATGCGCATATAGAGCGCATTAGGGTTTAGGGTTTGTGGGGAAGCTATACATGCCAGCTGATCCTCCAAGAGCAGCACAAGCCGCAAACCCTTTTTTAGGGTTTAGGGTTTCCGCTGCAGTCCAGCTGATCCATCCTGTATATTTTGCAGCCCCCTTTATAAACCCTTTTTTAGGGTTTAGGGTTTAGGGTTTTAGCAGTCTCCGAGCAGGCAATCAACCCCGGACTCGTTAGTTTCTGCTGCTATTTCTGCTGCAGTTGCTGCTGCTGCAGCAAGCCTCCTCTTAACTAGAAACCCTTCTGCAGCACCTGCTGCATCAGCAGCAGCATCAGCATCAGCAGCAGCAGCAGCACGATAGAGGGCCCCCCCTTCCCTCCTCCTCCCCCCTACATAGGGTTCAGGGGTAAGACCTAATACGTCCTCCGCTACTAAACCCCCAACAGTCTTGAGGGGATGGTCTACTAGCTGGTGCAGCCGCTGCAGGGGGCCCCCACCCCAGTACCCTCCTCCTCCTCCCCATGCAGGTGGGGGTGGGGGGCCCCCACCATATATAGGGGGCCCACCTACACCTGGGTACCCATATACTTGAAGGGTTCTATGAGGGGGGCCCACCTGCCTATACACCGCAGGAGATGCACGAAGCATAGAAGGGATCACACCCATTCCTTCTTCTATTACGTCATTACTAACGCTGCTGCTGCTGCTGCTGCTGCTTGGATCTGCTGCTGCTGCTGCTGCTGCATGCATGCCGAACCCCTCAAGGGCCCCATCATCATAATATGGTGAAGGAATGATACCATTACCATCAGAGTAGTAGGTCCCTCCTCCTTCCTGCAGCTGTCTCTGCTGCTGCTGCTGCCGCTGCTGCTGCTGCAGTTGCTGCTGCTGCTGCTGCTGCTGGTGCAGCCTTCTAGGCTCTGCTTGCTTAGGCTGACAGTTTCTCTCTGCTGATACAAGAGGCTCAGCATAAGACTTCTGTGGGGTAAAGGGGAAGTCCTCCTCCTCCTCCTCCCCAGCAGCAGCAGCAGCAGGTGCAGCAGTAGCAGTAGCAGCAGCAGCAGCAGCAGCAGCTGCTGCTGCTGCTGCTGCAGTAGTAGAGGGAGTAAGTGTTTTTAATGAGCACCAACTCCTCCTTAAATTATATGTATATACACTACAATCTGCAGCAGCAGCGCATGCAGCAGCGCATGCAGCAATAGAATTTATATTATTTTTTATTTTTTTTATTTCTTCTCCTTTTGTATCTTTGCCGTAACGTAAACATTCAAAGGAATCATTTATTAATGCTTCTTCTCCTGCTGCTGCTGATGCTGCTGCTGCTGCTGCTCCTGCTGCTCCTGCTGCTGCTGAGCGAGGTGCTGCTTCTGATGCTGCTGCTGATTCTGATTCAGCAGGTGGAAGCAATGCTGCTTCTCCTGCTGCTTCTGCTGCTGCTTCTGCTGCTGCCTTTTCTGCTGCTTCTGCTGCTGCTTCTGCTGCTGCTTCTGCTGCTGCCTTTTCTGCCGCTTCTGCTGCCGCCTTCTTAGCTTCTTCTGCTGCCTCTGCTGCTGCTTTCTCTGCAGCCTCTGCTGCTTCTGCCGCTGCTTTTTCTGCTGCTTCTGCTGCTTCAGCTGCTGCTTTCTCTGCAGCCTCTGCTGCTTCTGCTGCTGCTTTTTCTGCTGCTTCTGCTGCTTCTGCTGCTGCTTTTTCAGCTGCTGCTTTTTCAGCTTCTGCTATTTCAGCTGCTGCTTTTGCTGCTGCTGCTTCTGCTGCTGCTGCTTCTGCTGCTGCTTTTTCAGCAGCTGCTGCTCCTGCTGCTGCTTTTTCGGCTGCCGCTACTACAGCTGCTGCTTCTGCTTCCGCTGCTGCTGCTGCTGCCTCTGCTGCTGCTTTTTCAGCAGCGGCTGCTTCTGCTGCTGCCTTCTCAGCTGCTGCTGCTTCTGCTGCTGCTTTTTCTGCTGCTTCTCTTTCAGCTGCTGCTCTTTCAGCTGCTGCTTCCGCTTCCGCTGCTGCTGCAGCTTCTGCTGCTGCTTTTTCTGCTGCTGCTTTTTCTGCTGCTGCTTTTTCTGCTGCTGCTTTTTCTGCTGCTGCTTTTTCTGCAGCCGCTGCTGCTGCTACTGCTGCTGCTGCTTCCGCTGCTGCCTTTTCCGCTGCTGCTTTTTCAGCTGCTGCTCGTTCAGCTGCTGCTCTTTCTGCTTCTGCTGCTTCTGCTGCTTCTGCTTCTGCTGCTGCCTTTTCAGCTGCTGCTGCTGCTGCCTTTTCAGCTGCTGCTGCTGCTGCTTTTTCAGCTGCTGCTTTTTCGGCTGCTGCTTTTGCTTTTGCTGCTGCTTTTGCTGCTGCTGCTGCTGCTGCTTTTTCAGCTGCTGCCTTTTCTGCTGCTGCTTTTTCTGCTGCTGCTTTTTTAGCTGCCTCTGCTTCTGCTGCTGCTGCTGCTGCTTTTTCTGCTGCTGCTTTTTCTTCTGCAGCCTTTTTTGCTGCCGCTGCTTCTGCTTTAGCTGCTGCTTTCTTCTGCCCTCCTCGAGCTGCTGCTAATGCTGGTTTATGTTCCGCAGCTTCTGCTGCTGCTGCTGCTGCTGCTGCTTCTGCTGCTTCTGCTGCTGCTGCTGCTTCTGCTGCTGCTGCTTCTGCTGCTGCTGGAGCAGAGACCGGCTTTGCTGCAGCATCTTTTGCTGGTGCTTCTGGTGGTGTTACTGTAAGGAGGATATCTGCTGCAGTTGCTGCTGCGTCTCTTGCTGCAGCAGATGCTGCAACAGATGCTGCACCTGCTGCTGCTGCTGCAGTTGCTGCAGCAGCGGCGCGTTCTGGCTGAGCAGTAGCTTTGGCTATTGCTGCTGCAGCTTCTGCTGCACTGGTGGCAGCAGCAGCAGCAGCAGCAGCACTAGCGGCAGCTGCTGCTGCTGCCCGCTCCGCGCGCCGTATAGACTCCTCCTGCTGCTGCTGCCTCTCCTGCTGCTTCCTCTTTTCCTCCTTCTCTTTCTCCCTGTCCTGCTGCTGTTCATCCTTCTGCTGCCTCTGCTGCTGTTGGTCAGGCTGCTGCTGCTGATACTTCTTACGGTAGTACTCTTGCTGATCACCTTGCTGCTGCTGCTGCTGGTGCTCAGGCTGTTGCTGCTGGTACTTCTTACGGTAGTACTCCTGCTGATCGCCTTGCTGCTGCTGCTGCTGGTGTTCAGGCTGCTGCTGCTGGTACTTCTTACGGTAGTACTCCTGCTGATCACCTTGCTGCTGCTGCTGCTGGTGCTCAGGCTGCTGCTGCTGCTGGTACTTCTTACGATAGTACTCTTGCTGATCACTGTGCTGCTGCTGCTGCTGCTGTCCGGGCTTCTGCTGCTGCTGGTGTTCAGGCTGCTGCTGCTGGTACTTCTTACGGTAGTACTCCTGCTGCTCCTCGTGCTGTCGCTGCTGTTGCTGTTGCTGTTGCTGCTGCTGCTGTTGCTGCCTCTGTGTGTATCCACTAACTCTTTGTACAATAGCATCTCTTAGCTGCTGCACATTTACTCCCCTCCATGTTAGTTGCTGCTGCAGCGCAGCAAGTGCTGCCTCTAGCTGCTGCTCTCCTAAGGAAGAAGAGAGGCCTTTTTCCTTAAGACTTGCTGCTGCTGCTGCTGCTAATCTTTCTATCTTCTGATCTTCTTCCTGCTGCTGCTCATGAGGCTTCTCCTGCTGCTGCTGCTGCTCAGTCTTACCCTTCGAGTGCTGCTGTTCCTGCTGCTGCTGCGGTGTAGCGAATGCAAGAGCAGCAATATCTGCTGTTAATTTGCTTACCTCTATGCCCCTTTGCTGCAGCAGCAGCTGCTGCTGCGGCTGCTGCAGGTGCAGCAGCAGCTTGAGGACTGCATCAGTAGAAGGCGGAGATCCTGTCCGTCTCCCTAAACCATCCAACACTCGAGAAGCAACTTCTCGGGTGTCACTGCAGCAGCAACAGCAGCAACAACAAAGGCAGCAGCAAATGCAGCAGCAAATGCAGCAACACACGCACAGCACACACAACGTACAGTATTAGCATGAGGAATTGCAGAAAGGAGATATCATAACTTAGATTGCAGCTTTGTGCCTATTACTGTTTAGGGTTTAGGGTTTAGGGTTTAGGGTTTAGGGTTTAGGGTTTAGGGTTTAGGGTTTAGGGTTTACGGAGGATGAGACGCCTTGTTCCCTTGCGCTGTAGGGGCGGCATTGGCAGTCAATAGAAAACAAAACAATAAGAGGGAACCTCCTCCCCATAAGAAGTGTTTATGCCAAGAGACCATGGCAACCCTAAACCCTAAACCCTAAACCCTGACTGCTCAGCGTCAGTGCGCACACCCAATGCTGAGACAGAGAGAAATAAACCCCAAACCCTAAACCCTGTCAAAGGGAAGAAAGGAGAATGAAATTAAACCCCACTAGGGTTTGGGGTTTTCTGAGAAAGAAGTAACACCCCAGCGGATAGGCGGACGGCCGGATTAAACGCTAAACCCTAAACCCTAAACCCTAGAAATGGAAGACAGAGGTAAGGCCAGAAGGAATAGGAGATGAAATAAATGACGCAAATAAACTAGAAATAAGACACAATGATGTACAATCCTATTTAGTTATGATTTCAGGGTTTAGAGTTGAGGGTTTAGGGTTTAGGGTTTAGCGGTCAGGGCTCCGGGCGCGGAGGTGACCGGACACGAGAGTGTTTAGGGTTTCAGCTAACAGTCCACCATAAACCCTGAACCCTAAACCCTAAAACCCTTAACTATAAATTAATTAATCAAATAACATCTGTGTTTCCACACTGTTTTTCCTCCTAAACCCTAACCCTAATCCGTAAACCCTAAACCCTAAGTTCCTCAGCCACGCTTGCAACATTACCGGTCACCTGGCCCGTAGAAAACCCTAAACCCTAAACCTTAGCTGCTTAGCTTTGGCTCAAATTTTCTGTATTAAGCCGTATATATTGAATAGAGAGCCTTAAACCCTAAACCCTAAAGGCTAAACCCTAAACCCTAAACCCTAAACCCTCGTTTTCTCCGCCTAGCCAAAATAGAGCGTCAAGCAAACCCTCCCATAGCACATTTTCAGTAACAAGAGGTAAACCCTATTGTTTACCCTTTGGTAAATACAGAAACCCTAAACACTAAACCCTAAACCCTATTAGCCGCAGTGGGCATTGTTTAGGGTTTAGGGTAGAAGCATTCAAAATAATGAGTTGAATAAACAGGAAGAAGAAATCTCCCCGAGGGTTTAGAGGGTTTATATGAATTGTAGGGTCTATAGATATTTTAGTGTTTATATTAGGGTTTGCATTTTTGCTTATATATTAGGGTTTATAATAGGGTTTACACTACGGTATAAAGTAGGGTTTAGGGTTTAGGGTTTAGTTGAGGACAAGTTTCGTGACTGCACTTGGTGGTTCAATACCTAAACCCCTCCATCCTGCACCTAGTGTATGTTTAGGGTTTTGTGCATTAATATTTTGTTGTGTTTCTGCTAGGGTTTGGTTATATATTGTTTGTATTTGTTCCTCGTAATCTTTTAGTAATTGGGGTAAAGATACTAAGGGTTGCTGCAGTTGCTGCTGCAGCGCAGCAGCAGCAGCACGAGACATCGATATAAACTCTTCTTGCATGCGGGCAGCACTTGCATGACGCTCTGCACACACATAAACCCTAAACCCTAAACCCTAAACCCTCAAGACCAGACTCTAAACCCTAGACCATAAACCCTAAAGACCAGACTCTAAACCCTAAACCCTAAACCCTAGACACATTTGTTGTCTGCTTATAATGGCAAGTACGGAGCAATTGACAGAATAAAAACACTAAACCCTAATTCATAAACCCCAAACCCCAAACCCTAAACCCTAAACCCTAAACCCTAGGTCTGCATTACCCTTCATGGTTTGTTCGGTGTCTGCAACTTCGTTATCGATTTGTTTAGTGATATGTCTTTGTTGCAGTACTAGCTGCTGCTGCATTTGCTGCTGTTGCTGCAGTTGCTGCTGCAGCAATTTGCTCTCTGTTGCTTCTTGCTGCTGCAGTTCCTTTAATTGCCTCTCTAATTCTTCTGCTGCTCCTTTCCTCCATCTTTCTTTTTCTCGTAAATCTTCCTTTAAGCACTGCAGCTGCAGCAGAAAATATACTCATTTATTTACGTACTTGCAGCAACAGCAGCAGCAGCAGCAGCAGCAGCAGCAGCAATTGCTGCTGCTGCTGCAGCAGAAGCAACATAAACAGTTTTTGGCTGTTTCTGCCAAAACCAGAGAAATTCAATGATCATATATCCTAAACCCTAAACCCTAAACCCTAAACCCTAGGTCGCAAACCCTACTGTAATGTTCTTTAGGGCTTTGTGCATGCAACTTTATGTTGAATATTGCCGTATCGCTCTCCCTCTGCTCTAGGGTTTAGGGTTTAGGGTTTAGGGTTATTCTTTCCTTATGTTCAAGTATTCTTTGTTCTCTTTCAAATATCTAGGGTTTAGGGTTTAGGGTTTATGTTGCTTGTCTTATCTTCAAGTACTCTTCGCCCTCTAATAATTTCAAATTTAGGGTTTAGGGTTTAGGGTTTAGGGTTTATCGTGCCTTATGTTTAAGTATTCTTTGTTCCCTAATAGCCTCGAAAGTTTTTTCTTGTTAATAATTAGGGTTTAGGGTTTAGGGTTTAGGGTTTATGCTTCTTGCCTTATGTTCAAGAATTCTTTGTTCCCTAATAGCCTCGAAGGTTTTTTCTTGTTGGTAAATAAGTTGTCTTTCTTTAGTAAATAAAGTAACCATTAAACCCTCATTTATTGCCTTTAATTGTGCCTCTAATTCCGCCTTAGACGGACCCTTCTTCTTTGCTGCCTTCTTAGACATCCTAAACCCTAATAAACCCTAAACCCTAAACCCTTAAGCGTAGAAAACGGGAACGCAACAGCACGCGTTTTAGGCTAGATACGCAGGGCTCGTTACACGGTAAACCCTAAACCCTAAACCCTAAACCCTATATACGAAACCCTAAACCCTTGATATGGTTTAGTCTTGCTGTTCTTTAGAGAGGAATAAAGAATATGAGCAGCGCAAACCCTAAACCCTTAACACTCAGACACTACCTGGTCAAGGGTTTAGGGTTTACGGGTAATATATATACAAAGTATATATTTTATTATCTATTTTAATAAAAATATATTTAATTAAATTAAAATATATTTAATTTATTTATAAATACGTACTTTTGTTGCACAAGGCTAAGGGTGCAGCCAGCCCGCATGCAGCCGACAGCTCGCCAGGGCCCCCAAACACTAAACCCTAAACCCTAAACCCTAAACCCTAGGAACTCAAATCCGCTCTAAACCCTCGGAATTAAACTAGAAGTGTGTTAAAATCATTTTTTTTTCTTTCTTCCTCAACAAACACCACCACAGACATCCGCCATTACCCTCAACCGCGAGCATCCTCACAAACCCTAAACCCTAAACCCTAAACCCTAAACCCTAATCTGTCGGCTGTGCAGGTAAAATCGTGAACTCTTATTTCTTTTGAATAGTATACATTGAAAGTTTTGCTGCTGCTGCTGCTGTTATCGGAGGATGCTGCGAGCAGCAGCAAACGCCATCAGGTGCCGGGGGGCCCTAGGGGCCCCCCTAAGGGCCTCCTTACCTCTTGAGCTCTTTGCAGGGGCCCCCGGTACAATATGGGACCGTCGTGGGTACATGGGTCCCCGCAGATGGCCTGGAAGCAGCAGCAGCAGCAGCAGCGGCATAAGCAGCAGCGTGGGGAGCGACAGCAGCAGCAGCAGCCGCAAGAGCAGCAGCAGCAGCACATTCCCTCCTGCATCTTTCTCTATCTTTGGTCTTACATCCATGGTAACAATAAAACCCTCCCCTCCAACATTAGACACTGTCAACGTTGGGGGCCCCCAAGCAGGGGCCCCCCAGGGTGGCCCCCAAGGGGGGGGCCCCCAAACATTTACACGTGAAGGGGGTATAGTATTTTCTTTTTTACCTAAATTAGCAACACAGAAGACCTTTGATAAATCAGGGAGACTAACAGTCCTATTAAAGGCAAAACATATAGGGTACTTATTAGGGGGGCCCCCAGGGGGCCCCCTAGAAGGAGACGGGGGCCCCTTAGAGGCCCCCTGTGGTACAGGGTACGTTTTAAGGGTATCAGCACATTCAAGTAAACCACAGACACATGTTTGTATATCTTTGCTGCAGCAGCAACCGGAGCCTCTGCAGCATCAGCAGCAGCAGCAGCAGCAAGTGCAGCAGCAGCAGCAAGTGCAGCAGCAGAAGAAGCCTGTACACCTTATTGCATGCACAAGAGGGGAATGGCAGACACTGCAGCTGCTGCTGCAGCAATCCCTCCCCCTGCTGTTTAATTGGACTAAGGAGTCCCTACAAGCAGCAGCAGCAGAAGAGGACGCAGCAGCAGCAGCAGCAGCAAACCCTAATAGCCCTTAACCCTAAACCCTACATAATACTAGAACGCTAGGGTTTAGGGTTTAGGGTTTAGGGTTTGCAGGACTTTCTATGGGGTTTTGAGGTGTACGTACACCCCAAACCCTTTTTCTTTTTTATTATTTTATTTAAATAAACAAATTCTTTTATAAATAAAAATAGAAAGAAATATAAATAATTAGGCATTAAATATATATAAATAAATAAATAAAATAAATAAAATAAACAAATAGATAAATAAATAAATAAATAAATAAAGTATACACGTATCTATTTTATATATGCATATAAATTAAATGTATTTTTACGTATTATTATTCCCCTAGGGAATACGTATACATATATATTATGTGTATGTATTTTATTTATGTATACATTTACGTATATATATTTATATATTATTTACGTATATATTTATACGTTTATTATATATATAATATACAATTTATGCTGCAGATAAGTGTATAAATGCAAACAAATATATTATTAATAGTTAATTAAATGGTTATTTTTTATTGTATATATAGTTTAATTATTATTAATTAATTTAGTTAATTAATGATAATAATAATCAATTATTCTTAATGCTTACTAGTTACTAATACTTTATTTATTTATTTATTTATTTATTTATTTATTTAATTTTACTACATATTTACACAATATATACTAGCTGGATCAATCACTGCCCATAGCTACATACAAGTTGAGCTATTCGTGGGGTATTTTTGCTGTAAAATGTTCGCTTTTAAGACTAAAATACATTTAGTTATAATTTAAGAGTCAATTAAATGATTATAATTCTTTTATTCTTTTATTTTAATGCAAAAATA